CGCCGCGGGAAACGGGAGCGAGCCCCGTCCCCGGCTGCAATTCCCAGCTTCCCCACGAGATGGCGGCAGGGAGCCGCTGCGCCCCCCGCGCCCGCCCGGGGCCGGAGCTGGCCCGGACTTTGCGAGGTTCCTCGCGCCGAGGCGCCTGCAGATGCAGGGTGCTGCACGCGGCGGGGAGAGGCTTCCTGCATGGCTGCAAGGCCGCTGGTGCGAAGCCACAGAGCACGCAGCGCCTGCGGGGGTCTGGGCCGCACTGGACGGGCTTCGTGGCAAGCGTGGGGCAAGGCGTGGGTGAGCGGGGAAGGCAGGCACCGCGTCCTCTGTGGGCATTTCTTAGACTGGAAGCCACGGAAGGGTGCTCCTTGCACAGGGTGCAGTACCGAGGGTGCTCCTGCAGCCAGCGCCTGGCCCCGCTGCAAGACCGGCTGGGAGAGCCCCGGTGGGGTTCAGCTGCTGGGAGGGCAGCAGGTTTGCTCTTCAGAGCATTTGGCACACCGCCTTGTTTTCCCCAGTGCTGAGCCTCACCTAGCAAAAGGCCCTAAAGACAAATACGGCTAATTATATCCTCCACGAGTAAGTGCTGCTTTTCGTTTTAAAATGTTTTGCTTTCTCATTCGATGTCCTTGGCTTAAGTGTTTGTGCCACATCTTTACATCAATCACGACCTGAGCAAACTGCAGCAGCCAGCACCACTTAGGGACAGGGCGGCCTGGCAGGGCCCCCCGCGGGCTGGCGCGGCTGTCACTGGTGTCACTGGCAGCGCCTCGATGCTCCCTGATTGTTTGTGTACACAAATTAAGCGGGGCAGTTTGATGGGGTGTGCTACATGATGTGGAACAGAACAGAAGGGATCACACGGCGCTCTTCTCCGGGGGGGACGTGGGCGAGCGCGGGGACAGGGCCGGTGTCTGCTCTGGAGGCGCGTCTGGAGTAAAATGGTCCAACTGGGGAAGGGGGAGGCAGAGGGAAGGGAAAGAAAAGACTTGCGCTGGAAAAACATTCAGGATCTTTCTGGGTTTTGGGGGATGGAAAGTACAGCCCCTGGTTCTGCATGTGGATGGGTCAAGTTCACTGCACTGTTTTTTGCAGAAAAGCAGCACCAGAGACCTGAGCACCAGCCAGGGCGGCGCTGAGCAGTGCTGTGTGTCCTGGCAGAGCCCCTGCTGCTTCCGAGGGGCTGGGATTTACCGAGCAGCCCTGCAAAGCAGAGCGGCTTGTCCATGGTCACCCCATGGGGCAGGGACCCCCGTGTCCTCATCCCGCTGTCCCCCCGTGCTGTAGCGCCCAGCAGAACAGCTCCCTTCCCCGGCAGCAGGGCCCCTCTGCACACAGACAGAAAATCCCAGCTATGAAAAACCAACTCAAACAACAGCTGACTGGTTAAGAGGACCTGTGCAATGAAACCTCTCCTGGTCCGGAGTTGGGATCGGGAGGGTGAGCGCTGCTGCTACCTGGGATGCCATCCCGGGGGCTGCGGTGTCGTGCTGTCGTACCAGTGTGTGTCTCGCTGGGGACTGAGGCTTTTCCCCAGATCCTGTTGCCCCGGGGTGTTACAGCAGCCTCTGGCGCACAGCTAACGGAGACGACAGCCCTTCGGCCCCAGCAGGCCCTGATTGCCCCCGGGCCACCATCATGGGCATTCTCCCCGCTATCTGCTGGATCTCCTGTGCCCTGGAGGGCTTCCAGCACCTGCTCTGGAGGCGCGAGCCCCTTCATCGGCCGCTGCCCTGACCCGCAGAGACGTGCCCCAGGCTGCAAGGGCCCAGGGTTGCAGTTAACTGCTCTGTCCCCACTGCTCTGCTGGGGACAGCCAAGCGCTTCAGGGCAGAGCTGAGCCGGGGGGACCTGGAGGTGCTTGGGTGGATCCTGCTCTCCCCAGGCTCTCCCCGAAGGCCCGGCATGAAGCAGCTGCTCTAGCTGCCCTCTCCTCCTGGCGGGGAAGCAGAAGGAAGGGCAGATTTTGCTCCTCTGATGAAGTGTGTGCCTGCGGGATGTTTGCACGGCCAGCGCCAGCCAACCTGCGTGCACGGCTCCGTTGGTCACAGGCTCTGCCTGCGCTCGCCTGCTGCCCCCGGCTCAGCTGCAGATGCGCTGTGTTCAGTCGCTGTGAGCGGTGTCTGGGAAAGAAAAGCTGTTTCGCTTGCTGCCACTTGTTGAAAGAAAATGAGCTGCGGGTGTGTATTTCTTCACCACATCACATTGTACAGAGACACACGTGGGTACCAAGCCGGCTCCAGCCCTCAGGAGGGCTTTACCACCCCTGTGCCCTTACCTGCATTTTTCTGCTAAAACAGAAGCCGAACACAGGTTGCACACCCACACCTCAAGCCACGAGACACAGGACCTGCTTATTTTTAACTTCACTCAGCCCATTTGCCGTCGGGTCAGTTCTTGCCCTGCTCTGTCGCAGAAGCACTGCTCGAGCCCCAGCACGCCGATGCGCACAGGCAGAAACCGGGGTAGGGCTCACACTGCCTCGGGGGACGACACTGTGGCCAGTGCCTCTGGGACAGGCACCAGGGTCTCTTACCATGCTGCTTTATTTGCATTGCGATATTATAGCTATTCTACAACCTTTCTGCAGCAAAACGTGGTGCCGGGGAGGTTGGCGCAGGCCGAGGCTCCTGGCTGCTCTCCCTTGCCCTGCATCCTGCACAGAGCCATGGGAAGACCATGTCTAAAATGCTCTTGTCCTGCTGGAGTCCCTGCATGGCAAATGCTTGCAAACCCCAGCTCCCATGCCATGTCCCTGCATGGCCAAAGCCTGCTAACCCCAACGTCCAGCTCCAGCATCTTGGTCTGCACCTCCAGCTTCTCAGTTTCTGCATCTTCTCCGGCTCCAGCATCTCTGTCTCTGCATCTGCTGCAGCTCCAGCATCCAGGTCAGCATCTCTATGCCAGTGGCTGCTGTACCCCACAGGTCTTGGGCCGGGACTGGCTGGGAGCGGGGGGG